ATCGGAACTTCAAAATAACCACAGCAATCGGAAATGGACTTAAATCAAAACCCTGAACTACCCATAGTAACATATTTAAGCTAAATAACCGAAGAGATTGAAAGAGAAATAAAGAAGAAAAAAGTGAAAACCCTTCAAATGGAAATTACACTCATTACCCAGATTTCTGTCCATCATACAAAACAAAATGTAATAGCTACATAAAAATCCCCAAAAGAGCAGTTTGTTTCTCCGGAGAAAAAAATCCAGAAGGAAGGAAATCAGAACTATGCCATAGATGTGTTTATGCTCGCATTAAACCAACAAAAACAAGAACTTATCAAGTCAAGGAGCATTACAATTCCAGGATGCCAGACGACGTTACTCGAACCTCCACTCACAGGTAAACAGAAAATATAGAGAACTGATTTCATGAGACAGCTTAATTAACAGTGAAGTAGGAACTTAGATCAAATTTTAAAAATATATTCGTCAACTGTCATACTTCAGTCCATAATGAGAGGGATACTATTTACAACGATATTGTTTCAAAACAGAGTACGCATTGGTCCCTAAATGCGCTTCTGAACGGGTAAACACATTATTTACCGCGGAAAAAATATACCACTGACAATAAGCCATCCAGGCTAAAGCTAAATTTATTTCCTCACGGAAATCGGTGATGCTAGTTTCTATTTTATAATGCTTATAAATATCTCAGCGAAAGGAACTCGGGTTAAAGTTGAGATAACCAAACTTCCAAAAGATTAATTTGAAACAAGTGAATGATGTTAACTGTTTTTGCAAATTTACATGATGGAGGGGCGATATGAATATTTGCACCATTACACAAGCGCAGCTATAACTTTTCTTCGACCTACCCAGCTGGTAGCGCGCAATCAGGAGCAGGGTTTCATTACCAAATGATTTAGGCGCATAAATGATCGATTGAGGACAACGTTATTATCCTTGGGCTGCTCTATTCCTTGAGAAATCATTTTCAAATCTCATCCGCAGGAGGGATTACTACATGTTTGATACGCATTTGCCCATGGGTCGAAATTATCATATCATTCCAACGACAATTGACATTCCCATCGAAGAAAATAGTTTGACCGCGTTCAGTACAGTCATGTCAGATAGAAGAAGTCTAATATGTGTAAGGTAAAGGAGGCGAAACCGTGAATTGTTAACATATAGACTGTGAAGCTAAATCAATTGGCTAAGAAACACAATCTATTAGTCAAACCTTTGTTGCTGCTTAGGCTTAGCTGAATAACTAGTTCACATTCACTTTACGGTCACTTTTTTAAATAAAAAACTCCTTTTACGACTTTCAATTTAAAATGTTACCTAACCATAGAAAACTAAAGCCACACCGCACGTAACGAATTCCCCGGTAAACGAGAAAGCATATTATCTAACCAATGAGTGATAGAGCACCTGTATAGAAGTTGAAACTAACAAAATAACGAACACTTCCGCGTATCTTCCTCTCCCTCGAAGGAAATGAGTCTAGTAGGAGTGAGTTTAGCGCGTGCAAGCAAATCTATGTTTTTGCAAATGCAATAGACCCGTGTAATTCGTGGGGCTTCCAAAGTCGACGCAATACACGCTCACGAGGCAATAATGCGGCTAACTAGACATGCAAGACGACCACCACGATGCATAGACAACATACGACAAGCACTGACTATATAGAACTGCGATGGTAGCAAAACAAACAAGATGTTGAAGTGCAAAACGTCATGGACTCACCCTTCGAGCCTTGCTCTGATATTGAACGGCTTTTTTCGTATCGGCTACTGCTCGATCCACAAACTCCTTCGCGTGTTCCACATTGTACTCAATCCTATCCACCATCTCTCCCTGCAAAATGTTCTGACAATATTCTTCCTCAATATGACTTCACCCAACCCATTTCAACTTTTTACCCAAAAAAATTTACTATTAATATTAGCCCTTTGTAGACGAGAAAATTCTTTCGCATTCATCGTTTCTCACGCCGGCAGCATCCTCCCATAGCGAACTCAGCTAACAAAAACAAAAACTATGATTACGGATGGGCAAAAATGAGGTTGTAATATAATATTAGAAAAAAAACTTGAAATAACATCTGAACGCAATCTTCTCTTTGACTTCACTTTCTCAATCATAGGGACTATGTTCAAGAACGTATAACTATCCAAGAACATGAATCACTTGTGGGTGAAATAATCTCTCTTTCTGCTGATGGAAACGGTAAATGCGCCATTTCTGTTGTTCCTCTTTCTATTGTCATTTCTTTGTGTAAATCTAATAACAAATTTGATAGAATAGATATGAAATATAATAAGCATGATATAAAACTCACTATCATGATTTACATATTGTTCGATGTGACACTCACAAAAATTGGTTCATTTAAACATTTCTCTCCAAAGAGAAAAAAATTCAGGATTGCCTATCATCTTAAGGGAAATGGATACAATTACCATTTAAAGGTTGCAGTTTTGACTTAAAAAGAAGTGCAAACTGTTCTCATACTGTCATTCCAGCAAATCATCGCAAATCAAAACCAAGCACAATTAGTATTTAGCTCACGATCTCAGCAGACCATTAAAGGACTTTATAAGAACGCTCAAAATTTAACTTATACATCCCTTTGGTGATGAAATTGCGAGATAGCTCTCTGCGAGGAGATGCTGATTGGCTTTACAATTCATTTTTAGAACTGGGGTTCTTCGTTACAAAACATTGTTTTCAAACGACCCATTCTACCTTAAACGAAATTTTCTTTACAAACTAGTTACTGCACATTTCGAACTTAGATAAAGTGCAACGCATGGTCAATTGCAATGGATGTGTTCACAGTAGGAAAATTACCAAGCATCCTATAACTCTAAGCGGGCCTAAGACAACCCAAAGAGAGCAAATGGCCCAATTCAGTAGAATAAGAAGTTGGAAAAAGTCAAATTAAAACATATTCCAGGGTAAAACTCTGTGCAATGAAGTCCCACAAACTCGATAGCTCAGAATGCCGTCCTTTGCTGGGTCAAAACCTATACTTCGGAACTGTTCAAACTATATGAATAAAATTGCAATTGAAATCCAACAGTTTTGTTGAAGTTATGTACAAATGCCATAACGAATTATTCAACTTGCAATGATGATATGCAAAGATCTGATATTCCACTTGATTTCTAGGCTATGCTGTTGCGAGTGGAGACACTTTGCACCCTAATAGCGAGGACAGTACAAAAATCACTCATATTCGACGTTTACTTTAAATGTGGAGAAGAGGATTTGGCAGTGCTTAAATTAAACAATGTAATGGCAGGAATAGAATTTCGCTTCAAACATATCTTGTACTTTATACACGCTTGCTATGTCAACATGGCTGCAAATCTTCTAAAAGAACCTTAGAGGTTCAGATTGCAAAATATGGTTGCTGACTATAGCCCCTCTAGCGTCTTTTATCTCCTCAAGTGAGTATTTCTTTCGCGTGCTGAGATCCCACTATCGCGAATGACATGAATAATGCACCAAATGGCCTCAATTAATTCCTGACCACGAAAAACTCAGCCTTAAGCTATGCCGTTCAGCTCACCCACCACAAAATACGTCATCGCCTACCCACGGACTTGGGCCAAAGGAAGTGCTCACTTCGTTTGCA